TGTTATTTTGTAAAGAAAGCATACTTATAGTCTAAGTAATTGATTCCTATTTATGTTTCGTAAGCTGTACAATATTTGTGATGCTTATTCATTGAATATCTTTTTTATGTATATAATAAACAACAAGTAGTGTCATATGTTTGTTTTCACAGATTATTTTTGAAGGTCAGATATGGAGGAAGTCATCAACATGTAAATTTTTCATGATTACTGTGGAATTCTATATGCACATTAAAAATCTGTTTCACTCCAAATAATTGTTTTAAACCTTTTTTTCTGATAGTTACCATTAAAATCAATAAAGAACTAAATTGTCCAAACATGACACTATTATTAGCCAGCCTTGACTAAGTCTTGGTTCGCAGTTATGTCATGTCATTCGGTAAGAAGCCAACAATAAACTAATGTACAGATGTAGTAATTGTTCTGTTTTCTTATGGAAAACAATGATTGGTGTTGTGGATTTTGTTCTTTGTTATTTTTCTATTTTCTATTAGTTTGTTGATGACAATTAATATGAAGTTTTCAGGTCTGTACTTGACATTCAGACAGACTTTGAACAGAAACCTCCATATTTGACCTTTAAAGAACAGTTATATATTTTGTTAAATAATAAAGATCAATGCCCATCCAGACATGCTTTTATAAATGTATTCTCTCCAGAATATAGGATGTGGGCAATTTATTATTTTTTTTAAATATTTCTGATTTTGGCAAATTTGCATGTTTAAATTTGGCAATTTTCCAATATTCCTCAGATGTATTCTATTTAATTTCTACAATGTATATTTTACAAGTTGTAGCAAGGTCATGAAGTTGGTGAAAATGTCTGCAATTACAGACTATCTTAAATTATAAGAAAGAATTAGTAAGCAGTATATTTGGTGTCTTTGCTCTTTTATGTAGAACACTGATGATTCACACCAGGATTTTACATGGAACACTGTTTATTCATACCAGGATTGCATATTCGACACAAATATTAAAGATAGCTTGCCATAAATCTAAAATGTCATTCCCAGTTAGGCATGCTGGGATATAATTTATGTCTTGGATACTTTAGCATCCTGGGATAAAATTTATGCCTTGGATACTTTGGCCAGCTGGGATGTATTTTATGTCTTGGATACTTTGGCATGCTGGGATGTGTTTTATGTCTTGGATACTTGGCATGCTGGAATGTATTTTATGTCTTGGATACTTTGGCCTGCTTGGATGTGTTTTTTGTCTTGGATACTTTGGCTTGCTGGGATGTATTTTATGTCTTGGATACTTTGGCATGCTGGATACGATTTATGTTTTAGATAAAGAATGAGGGAAAAAAGATGTACATTGAAACAGATTATATGCTATATATTGAGAGATAATCTTGTACCTTTTTATTCAGCTTTTTGTATGGAAAATTCTGTAAATGTTTTCAGTATGTAACAAACAAATTAATGATAAAAATGTGGATGTATCACTTTAATAGATTAAACTTGCTCCAGATTTGTATTGCATTTTCAAATTTTTGTTTTAAAGATTGTGCATATCAAGACATTTATTATTTCTTTATATCTGCCAAAAGATAATTACTTGTTTAACCCTTTAACTACAACTACCGCATCTGAGCGTCACCTGTAAATAGCTCCTGAACCCCACTGACGCATATATGCAGTGTCGATAAGCCTTGTTTAAAACCCCAGTGTCGCTTATGAGCGCGTAGTTCTGCTGTACGCAAAAGCCCAGTGTCGCATCTATGCGGACGTAATTGCTATGTTAAGTAAACGTTGATTGGTTGAAAGTACAGATATTTACTTATTTTTCATTATCATAACCAATGAGAAGACTGGTTACTGAACATTTTGATACCAGTTGGAAAGCTGAGAGGTTAAATTTAGACACGCGGGAAGGAAATTTCCGGCAATGTACAAAACACTTGTAGTTGAGATAAACAAAAATGGATTCCTAGTCAGATATATGTGACTTTAAAGGGTTCAGTGCAAGCAATATTGAAGAGTTTAATGGATCATTCTTAGTAAATGGATCAGATAATAATGTTAGTCCCATTTCAACACTAGATGTATGTGATTTTGAATCAAATGACGATTTATTTTGTGTGATTCAAAACAGTTTACGCGACGGGGATTTCTTGTCTGATTGTTGTAGGAGTAAAAAAAATGAAATATATGAATAACAGACACTATACAAGGTAAGCTGCTTTTTATTTCACTGAAATCCAGCAAAAACTAATGAAATAATGAATATAAATGTAACCATGTTTTTATTGTCAGTTTCCGTAGTCAGCCATGACAATGCTCTAGTATTCAGCCTAGCAAACAGTATCAGTAGTCTCAGTAACTGATACGCTATCACTCAGCAGTAGTGAAACAGCAGAACAGCTGCAGTAGTTGAAGGGTTAATAGAGGTATGAGGTTGGATGGAAATGTTTTTGCTCATCATTGATGGAGAAATTTAAGATTTTGCACATTACATATTTATGTCTTTCTATTATCATATAAAAAGTGGTGTGATTTAAGAAGTCTCTATGTATTCACTTGGTTAGGTCACCTGTCCATCCATCATTGCATTTGTCTTTCTGTCCACTTTGATAGGGGTACAATTCTGAAACTGCTTCATCAATTTGGGGTGCATCTTTGGATGAAAACAAATTGTACATTTAAATTGCTTAAAACATCCATCTTTCTTGTCTGTGATATAAATCCAATACCTTTTCTGTGTTATCAAACTACTTGCACTGCATCCTGGAATGAATGCATTTCACACACCAAAACAGGCCTGCATTTGGCCGGGTGTGTTAAGAAACTTGCCTGCACAGGTCACCGACATCTCGCCTAGTTCTTCCTCCATCAACTATTTTGGCCACTATGTATAGTTTATCATTTCCTGAAAATGGCATTAAACACGCAACAATCAACCACCAAAACGGGAGTTAAGGACTTACAAACAATTGGCTAAAGATTGCATTCATATTCCAGTATTGTTTTGCCTGTTTCCAGTGCACTTGTACTGCATGTGCATCTTAGCATGCCTGTTTTGTGCACTAGAATTGGTTTGCAGTGACCATTTTTGTTAAACTTGTATAAAAATGCTCAAGAATCCATTTTCCAGTTTGGGCTGTTACTTCTGTATAACTTTACCTGCTGACTGAAAACTTAAACATGGTATGTTTTCTAGGATACACTAATGTTAACCAAAAGTTGGATTTAGTAAAAGTGGTTAAATTTTTACATTGGCTTTTAATTCCAATTCCTTTTAACCTATTGCCTCTAAAATTATACATTTCACACTTGAAAAACTGCATCCATAAAACTTCCTTAACCTATTTAAACCAAACATGCATTGCAAAGTAAAATTGAGTACTACATGCAAGAATTTTTTTATGTATCACTGGGATCAAAATTTAACTCTTGTTGAAAGCATTACAAAGAAAAATAAAGCTTTGTATAGTAACATTTTAATAAAGCAATATTACAAAATTTATCTGTACTTCTTTAGTTTGATAGTTGCACTGTCCTGTTTACTTGTAAACAGAGAAAATACTATGGTCTATTTCTAATCCAGATGTCTACATTATGAAAGAAATAGTAATTATTAGAGCCTCTCTTTAAAAACCTGATGGAGCTCTTGTGGCATTCATTGTAGCCATCTTCTCAGCTGTTTGTCAGTCTGCCCATCTGTCAGTAATTTCGTTTCAGCCAGATAAATAGAAATCGTTGATTTGTTTACAAAATTTGGTATGCAGCTTTATATTGATGAGGCCATTAATAAAAGTTTGCTTTCCATTATTTACCAGTTATGGTTTATATAGAAATCGACAATAGGTATCACTGAGAAAGCATTTGCTATGTTAATCAGAGTGAAAATATACTATAATTAATGTCTTCAGGCTTGTTAATGCTTAGAGAGTAAGGCCTGACTAAGACTGATTTATCTTCCCCATGTTTTTATATTCCAATGGTCACTATTGGGTACAGATAAAGTTTTCTTTGGGGATGTATTATAAATCTGGGCAGCACATGCAGAGTACCCTTGGACAGAGTATTCACCCCTCAACCCCTCATCTTAAGCATCGTGTGTGTGTGTGTGCACGCACGTCAGAAGTACAGCAAAGGTTAGGAAATTATCAGCCCTTCGTTGATGGAGAAAGAGAATTATTTGGCCAATTGAGTGGGTCAAGATTATACAACCATTATTAGAAATGACCGGCTTACAAACACACACACATATATAGAGTTACAACGAAGCAAACTTATATGGATTAGTGCTTCATACAGCTTAATTCCGAGCAGTGGTTCTAAGCATTTAGCGAGATGGGTTTTGTTTTGTTTTGTTTTTTTGTTTCAGTTCAGGAAACTGAAACCTGCTTAATCCAGTATAAACTTTGCTACCAACTGGTTTGTGGCGGTTTTGAGCACCGGTCCGTAATTACCTTGTCTAGCATAGTTCTTCATTTGTCACAGGTCTTCGTGTGCGTCTTTTACAAAATAACCGACTATGTACAGCTCACTTTAAAAAATGGGACTAACAGCTGGCTCGCTTGGTGCTCAACATTAAAAGGTTCATGTTAGGACTGGTTTACCTGGTGTCAGGATAATATGACTGGGTGGAACATCACGACACAAGTCTGCATCACTATGAACTACCACACTGCAGACATTGTAGCGATTACTAAAAAAAATTAAAACTACATTAAAAATCCAAATTACACACACACACACACTGCAGTTAAAATTCTTTGATGATGATGGTATTCTGGTATTAAGCATCATAATAACACATTGTGTTTATCATATATTAAAACAGACAAATCAATCTTGTATAAGAATTTAAATGGATCTCGTATAAAAACATGCAAAAATCAATGTCATAAAAGACGTAAAGTGATCTCAAAGTAGAGACCGTAGCGGTGACGGTGGCCTAGTGGTTAGAGCATCCGTCTCGGATGCAGGAGGTCACAGGCTTGAATCCCAACCAAGCCATACCAATGACTTTAAACCGCTCCGATAGCCTAGTGGTTAGAGCATCCGCCTCTGATGCGGGAGGTCGTGGGTTCGATCCCCGGTCGTCATACCAAAGACTTACAAAAATGGTACTAACGGCTTCCTCGCTTGACGCTGAGCATTAAGAGGTTAGTGTTAGTATAAGTCGGCCTTATGTCAGGATAATGTGATGGGTGGGACATCATGCTACGTGTCTGCGTTATAATGCCCCAGTGCTAGACATCACTATAAACTGCCACACTGCAGACATCGTAGCGATATGACTGAGAAATTGTTAAAGCTACGTTTCAAAAATCATACATCACATCACCAATAACTTTTTTTTAAAAATGGTACTGACAGCTCCCTCGCTAGGTGCTAGGCATTAAGAGGTTAGTGTTAAGACTGGTTGGCCTTGTGTGAGGATTAATGTAACTGGGTGGGACATCATTCTACATGTCTTACGCATGATGCCTCAGTGCTAAATATCACTGTAATGTTTTGTTATAAATCGAAATCACACAAGTAGAAAATATAGGATAAATATAAGGATTGTTATGACTGGTTAGAAAAGAGCACAACTTAAGTTTTGTAAAATTAATGAAATTATCTCCCTAGAATCTAAAGTGAAATGGACTAAAACTTAATGATTTTTTTTTTAACTAATTTGTAACAGCAGACAAAAGTAAAATAAATACTTTCATTCCAGTCTTTTCCTATAACGGTCTCTTGACTTTTAGAGATTTAAGCTGCTGGATGATTAATTAATGAATATCTTGTTGGAAAATGTCAGATATAAACTCTGGCTTTTTATCAGATTGGTCAGGTTTAGAAGGCCAAAATTAGAAGAAATATTTTTATTTAATCAAAACTTTTACTGTGGTTTTAATTGTAATTTTATTCGAACGAATTTTGAAATCTTGTGGACATTCACATTATGGTCAACATGTATGGGTTGCCTGGCTTGGTCATAGATAAGGGACCAACGGTGTCTACCATTTTTCAGATACATTGTTTGTCAAATGCTGGAATAGTTGCAGGTGAGCCTTGGTTATCTTCTGATAGGGTTTTCCTACCATTTGATAAGTGTGACAATATCCCCAGTTATTAGAAACGTCACTTTAAATTTAAAATAAAAAATGACCTGCCAAAAAAATGACCTGCCAAAAAATAAAAATATAAAAATAAAAATAAAAAATGACCTGCCAAAGGTGTTTTATGGGCTAAAAGATTTCCTCTCTGTACAACATAGGCATGGGCACCTGCAGATATGGGGAAATGGGGCACTGCCCCTTATGTGTTTTAGCTTGCATCCATTAAAATTGATAGCAGGCCACTACATGATTTCCTTACCCCCCTCCGAAAAAATAGTTTTAAAGGTGCTCCTGGACATGCAACAACTTATTTGCACACTGACCATTTGTCACCAAGGGCACCTCAGAGGGTCTCCATGCTTTCACAAGGAGCCCATTTTTCACAAAATTAACTTGCACTTGCGTATTTCAGATTCGCCAATCCCACTGAAATGAATAGTAGCTGTCAGGAACGTGTTCCTGTTTGACGACTGATTAAAAATCAAAATAATGAGTTGAAAAAAAGAGGTTCATTGTGGTTAGTACTTCTCTGTTTAATTAATACCAGAAAATAGTGACTCCATCAATAGACCTTAGTGTCAGCGAAGGAATAATTTCCTTATTATAATCATTCTTCAAAGCATTGTTTTGCCATAGCTTACAAGCTGGGTATAAGTCGAGGATTTCATTTTCAATGGGATCGACTTTCGATCCAAACAAACTATGTTAGTTACAAGTGGATTAACCACAACCTTATATACAGCTAGGTAGTTGCCTGGTAGTCAGTGAATATGATCAATGGGTAAAGACGCCACTATTCCGATTGTCACGGATCCTCTGTCTAAGTCTGATCACAAATTTAAACACTGGAGAGGAACATGAACAACGCTGTACTCTACTCCCTGAATAAGAACACCAGAAATAGGCTTTTCAAATAAAGACAAACGTACCTTATAATAAAAGACTGTGAATCTTCTTTGTCCGTTTGTTTTTAAAAGGGGCTTGGCAGAATCACCAAACAACTAATACAGAACCTTATGACGTAATTCTCTTTAATAACATTGGACGGGAGTGTTTACTTTCAATACATGACGACCTATTTGAGTATCTAGGTCTTGATTATATTGCTTAATTTTCAGTCATAAACCCTTCAAAATATTACTTAACTACATCATAAGATGCTCTATATTGTACCGATAATTAAATGTAGACTTTTTTAACTTTGCCGCTAAGTACAATTTGCAATTTTCTCTTGGCAATCTCACAATCGTTTCGGCAATTGTCTCAAAATGAGATAAATAGTGATCTTATTCTTTAAAAGGGTGTACTAATCTAATATTTCTGGTAACAAAGGTGTAAAGGTGAGGGTACTTGGGTACTTTCTGCTTGCCAGATAATTTTTAACTCTATAAAGTTCTCTTTGCATTCTCTCTCTCTCTCTCTCTCTCTCTCTCTCTCTCTCTCTCTCTCTCTCTCTCTCTCTCTCTCTCTCTCTCTCTCTCTCTCTCTCTCTCTCTCTCTCTCTCTCTCTCTCTCTCTCTCTCTCTCTCATTTCTGAAGATGAAGTGTTTTTATAAACTCTATTTGCATCTTGTTTTTTTATTTCAGTTTTTTTTACTTGAAATTGAGAGAAACCAAACCACTTTTATCCAAAAACTTATTTTCTATCAAAATATTGGACCAATTATATATATATATATATATATATATATATATATATATATATATATATATATATATATTACTTATTTCCTTATTGTATTCTTTGCTTCAGAAAGATCGTATGGTCCGGCAAGCTGAAGAAGTTCGTTCAAGGACTGTAACCTTTCCTGGGTTGGATTTAAATAAATGTTCTCCATTTTAGATGACATTGTGAAGCTAGTTTCATTATAGATTTCTCAAATATGTGGAATTAAAATTTATTTTATAAAAGTAGACGTTTGTAAATATATTTACATCCAGTTAATACTGATCGTAATATATAATCTAAAATTATAGAGAAATACTAGCAATGTAATATGTTGTTTACAAAATAACAATATATTAGTTACGTAGGCCCTAAATTCAATTACTAAACTAGGTCAAACAATTAATATTGATATACAAGACCTATAACCATGTAGAAATACCAAAAAACAATACCAATTTAATATACCCGTATTTACAGTATGTTTGCGAATACTTTTTTGTATATATAGAAATATAATATTTAATTGCAATGTAATTTTCGGACGTTGCTTTGCTATAATTTTTTTTTATACAACTTATGTTTCCGGACACAATCTATGAAGATAAGCTGCGTCGTTTTAAAGTAAAATACACAGCGTGTTTGCCGTTAGTTTATCTGATTCTACCTGTAAGTTTACTCCATTTGTTTGACAATTATTTAATATGATCATTCAGTTATGAACTAATAAAATTTAAAATTCTTAATCGTATGTATGTATGTATGTATGTATGTATGTATGTATGTATGTATGTATGTATGTATGTATGTATGTATGTATGTATGTATGTATGTATGTATGTATGTATGTATGTATGTATGTATGTATGTATGTATTTATGAATATAGACAGACATATTGTTGGATAAATAAACATTTTTATATTAAGCCATACACCGTATATAACAATACCAAAAAATGAAAATAAAAATGATTTAATGCTTTAATACATATACATATGTTATTCGTTTTCAAGTAGCTTGTCCATAACCTTTTTTAAGTCTTTGGGCAAAAAGCCCTAAAATTCTGTATCACTGTCATCATCCGTATCATTTAATTGTCCTGCATTTCTGATCAACGCGATTTTAGTTCTGCTCAGATTGACACTGATGCCGCACACCTTGACAGATTTGATTATCCTTGTGCTCTTTTCATTCAATTTCTCCATGGCATTTACAACCCAGTCCAATATATTCTGCTTGCTGGCTGCATTGATCCGTCCGTTGGTGCTTTCGTCAGATTTATATCGCATTTGTAGCATCCCTGATGTATTCCCTCCAGCTGCGGCGGAGGTAGCTCTTGACAGGTTTATTTAATGCTCACATCAAGAGGTTGCAATTTGGATGTACAACATCTAGGTATTATTGCTGGCACATTTCCAAGTGGCAACTGCTTCTTCACGTCATCAGTGATATGAGCACTGAACGAGTCCATAACTAGAAGTGATTGCTCACTTCTGGTGAAGGGCAAATAAATTTCTTCAATGCATCGCAGCATTAGCGTTTGGTCAATCCATGCTTTTTCTTGCACTGCAATAATCCACCCATTTTGAGCCGTCAGATCCAGATGCCTTTTTTCCTTGAAAATAATCATTGGGGGTATTACATCGCCAGAATTTGCAACGGCTATAACGAGTGTAATGTGTCTCTTTTCCGATCCAGTTGTATGAATCAGAACGAGCAGCAGAGAGGCTGAACAGACAAATTTGCCTGAGACCGTATTTTTGAAAATTAAGGGTTCATACGAACGCTAAGAAAAACGTTTTTGCCTTAATAGTAAAACTTTCTTTAATTGTCCAGATTTTTTGCTCGATTTATTCACGATGTGGTCACTACAAGTATGTCGTTCAGCCTCTCTGCTGCTATAAATTAAACAGCCAGTATAAATATTATCAATAATGAGTATTGGAGAACCACACTCAGCTAAATTAGCTAGAGAGCGACTAGATGCAATTAAAAATATCTACCTGTTCGTGATTCTGTTAAGCAACAACTACAATCGCGTCAAGAATCTCAATTTGAATTTGAGGAGGATACAAAACAGTTATTTAAACCTATCACTGAGACCACTAAAGGTATTTAACCTGTGTTAGAAAAAACAGCTGAAACAACTGAAAAAAATAGCAAAAAGAACTAAGAAAACAAAAAAGATTTTTGAAAAACTTCCAGAAACAAATAGCTGCTGCGATGACAATCCCGGAAATACCTGAGGATGCAGACCAGGCAGAAGGTGATACTCAACGAATACCAGGACAAACGCGAGGTAGGGTTAATATAGCTGATAAATTTTCCG